TACAAAAAATCAGCTGGGCATGGTGGCGCATGCCTGTAATCCCAGCTACTCAGGAGGCTGAGGCAGGAGAATTGCCTGAACCCAGGAGGCGGAGGTTGCGGTGAGCCGAGATCGCGCCATTGCACTCCAGCCTGGGCAACAAGAGCGAAACTCCGTCTCAAAAAAAAAAAAAAAGAAAGAAAAAAAAGCAATGCAGAGGTCAATCACAGTGAAAACCTGACTACCTGGTAGTATGGCTGCTAGTAATATATGTGGGCTAGGTACGACAAGATGATGGGGTATTAAAATCTTATTGATGGCTCTTAAGCCCAAGACAATCTCCATCTCTGGTTATTAGGTTTTTGAACCCATAGGATGGGGGTATTACATAGGCTAGTGCATGGAATGATTAGTCCCTGTTGGAGGTAGTCCTCAATAATTGGTGTGATTCCCTGAATGGCTTCCTGGCATAAGGGAATCAAATTGTTTAATGTTTGGAAGTCTTTTTGTTTCATCTATTTGTGTGTTAATTGGTTGTGCTGAATGAAAACAGCCAATCTCTGTGGAGCATTCGGACCATGAGTTTTCCAAGTAGAGAGGTTAGTAGGCCTTGAAATGTTTCACTTAGTGATATTTTCCCTTTATTTTCAAGAACTGAAAATAGAGATGGACAGTTCATTGAGTTCCTTGAGGTTTCCCTCTATAGTATTTTTCCCAGTAGTAATTGCATTTCCCCCTTTTGGAAGGAAGAAATGTGAGCTTTGCGGGCTTCCAGAAAATCTCAGCCAACTAAATCAATGAGAGCTGAAGGGACTAGCAAACTGATAAGCGCTTTGGAGTTCCCCAAGTCAAAAGGCTGTGTGGAGACGGCCTCTTTCACTGCAGTTGGGGACTCATCTTGTCTATGCAAAGATCTGCTGGGCCAGTGGAACATAGTCTTTTGGATACAGATCCCTGGTCAGTGATCCCACACAGTCCCAGTACCTCCTTGGGTCTTCTCCAGGTCCATCTGAGTTGGAAAGCCCCATCAACCTTGGAGTCCTCATGAGACTAATGGCAAGCCTGGGCCCAGAGTGTCTTCTAGTGCTGGGACAACTGCAGTGATCACAGCCTAAGGAAACACATCAGTCAGTCTGCTTAGAATCCCTGGAAAGCCCTCTGAAAAAGGACAGGCACAGATAAACCCATACTGTGAGAACTAAAATAAATACCTAATCCCTCAATGTGCAGACATCATTGCATTTACACAGGCATCAAGAGCATTCAGGGAAATAGGACCTCACCAAACAGACAAAATAAGGTGCCTGAGACTGACCGTAAAGTGATGGAGATGTGTAATCTCTCAGACAAAAATTCAAAATAGCTGTTTTAAGGAAGCTCAGTGAACTTCAAGAAAACACTGAGAATCAATTCAGAAATTTATCAGAGAAATTTAACAGAGATTGAAACAATAAATACAAAAATTAAACAGAAATCCTGGAGCCACAAATTATAATAAATGAAATTAAAAATGCAATAGAGAGCATCAACAGCAGAATTGATCTAATAGAAGAATCAGTGAACTTGAAGACAGACTATTTGAAAATATAGTCAGAGGAGAAAATAGAAAAGAAATGAAAAGGAACGAACAAAGCATATGGGAGCTATCAGACAACATTAGTATTTTCTAGGATGTTGTGATTGGCAGTTTTGCAGTTTGGCCCAGTTCGAGGGTTCAAGGCAAGTTCTTGATTTTTTTGTGTGGAAGTTTGTAGGACATGCAGGCAATCCTTCATAAAATGACTTTGCACAGCCACATGGTGTGATGGAATAGTTACACATTCTGGATTCCGAAGATGGAGGTTCAAATTCTAGCTAACCCACTTCTCCAACCTTGTGACCATAAGCAAATTATTTTACCTTTCCAATCAATTTCCTTATCTGTGAAAGAGGAATGATGGTAATATATCACAGATTTTGATAAGAATTAAACAAGACAAAGTATTGGAAAGTACTGAGATTATTACAGGTTATACAACTGTTTGTCGTATATCTGTTACATAAAATACATATGTGTTATAACCATTTTTATATATAAATAATGAAAATTAGAATATACACACGTTTAATACATGATAAGTGTGTGTTAGAATGTATTAGATATGTTTGCTTTGCACAAGTTTTTCAATCCCTGCTTAATAATACATGTAATCACATATATTTCCAAAACAAGCTACCTCTTCATCATTACTTGTAATTCTGCCTGCCAGTTTTTCAGCTGCTTTTTCCCCTTTATAATATTTTGTGGGCTTTCTGTTAAGGCAGTAGGATTTGTAACCAAATGCTCACAGATTCGCATTCCTTTTTCAACAGGTGGGAGCACTCAGTCCTGGGATTCCAGGAGTGTTTTTAGTAGCCAATGAGTCTCATTAAAACCTGAGGGTCTTCTTCCAAGCTGGGCACTCAGCTGCCTTTTTCTATTTTTGGAAGGACCACAGAAAATCGCCTGTCAAAAGTTTAAAACTTTCCACCGTCTATAAATAGGGTGATTTATCCCTTGTAAAATATAACCTGGTTTGATTACATATAACCTCATTCTGACATAGCCTTCAGTTTTTTAAAAAAATTGCAGCTGTCTTGCTATATGATGTCCCATTGCATATTTCATTTGTATTATTAGGCTATAAATCAGTATCAAAACAGAGAGATGCTCTTAAGAGAGACACTTTTTAATAGTGTTCTAAGAAAAAAGGCATTGCTTTTGTATAGTGACGCCTGTGACCCCAGCACTTTGGGAGGCCGAGACAGGTGGATCACCTGAGGTCAGGAATTCGAGACCAGCTTGACCAACATGGAGAAACCCTGTCTCTACTAAAAAATACAAAATTAGCAGGGCGTGGTGGCACATGCCTGTAATCCCAGCTACTCGGGAGGCTGAGGCAGGAAAATCACTTGAACCCGGAAGGTGGAGGTTGCGGGGAGCCAAGATCCCACCAGTGCACTTCAGCCTAGGCAACACGAGTGAAACTCCATCTCAAAAAAAAAAAAAAGAACATGTAATGAGAATGCAATTAATGAAGTTTCCATCGAAGACAATTTAATTGCCACTGCATCCCAGGCTGGGCGACAGAACGGACCCTGTCTCAAAACAAACAAAAAGAATCCTTCCTTTTAGTAAAGGTTATGTTTTTGGTAAAGGTTATTATTCATGGGTGCTGACTAAACAAGACTCAAGGGTGTAATAAGAAAAGCAGCCTTTCTGAATTTAGTCTTTTTTATTCCTGAGCACTTAAAAATATTTAACTACGGCCGGGCGTGGTGGCTCAAGCCTGTAATCCCAGCACTTTGGGAGGCCGAGGCGGGTGGATCACGAGGTCAAGAGATCGAGACCATCCTGGTCAACATGGTGAAACCCCGTCTCTACTAAAAATACAAAAAATTAGCTGGGCATGGTGGTGCGTGCCTGTAATCCCAGCTACTCAGGAGGCTGAGGCAGGAGAATTGCCTGAACCCAGGAGGCGGAGGTTGCGGTGAGCCGAGATCGCACCATTGCACTCCAGCCTGGGTAACAAGAGCGAAACTCCGTCTCAAAAATATATATATATATATATTTAACTACATTTGTATGTGTTCCTAAATAATCTATACCAGTATTGTGCATGCTTTTAAGCTTTATGGAAGTGGCATTATCACTGTATATAGCCATCTACAACCTGCTTTTTATTTTTATTATTATTTTTTTGAGATGAAGTCTTGCTCTGTCTCCAGGCTGGAGTGCAGTGGCGTGATCTCAGCTCCCCTCGAGCTCCGCCTCCCAGGGTCAAGCGATGCTCCTGCCTCAGGCTCTGGAGTAGCTGCAACTACAGGCACACGCCACCATGCCCAGCCAATATTTCCTTGGCTGTGTGCTCACGTACACATACTCACATATGTACACACAAATATTTATATACACAAGATAGATGGTTATGCCTATTTTCTTATCAAATACATTTATTTTTGATAAATTTTAGTTTTTTTATAATTCTGCCCAGCAGAATAACAAATCCCCTAGAAAAGTGCAAGACTAAGCCAAAAGACTGACTCTAGAAAAAATAAAAGTAACCAGAAAACCTATCCCTAAACTTGGTATCTGCAGAGTTTGTTAAAATGAAACTGAGATTTGTAATGGTTGAATTTATTATTGAAAAGGTGGTGGACAAGATTATAGATCAGATTTGGCATTTAGTCTTGACATTTCCTTAGGAATGCCTTTAGTTAATCCTGACACATAATTTTATTCAATTAACTACAAACAGTAAATGACATCATTATAGCACCAAAGCTGTATCTGTCCATTTCTTAATTTGTTCTCTAGAGATCAATATCAAATTTTGCATTCCCAGCAAAGAAAACATAACTCTTCACCTAGAATTTAAATTAAACAAACAAATTTAATTCAACAAATACTGAATACCTAACTATATGCAAGGCACTAATTCAACATATTAAAAATAGTAAAAATAAGCAACATTTTTGTGCACCTATTATGTGTCAAGTATATGCCCTTTACATGTGTTATTTCTTTTTCAACACAGCGTTATTGACATATACTTCACATATCATACAATTCACCCATTTAAAGCATACAATCCAATGGTTCTCAATATGTTAATAGAGTTGTGCAACCATCACACTATCAATTTGAGAACATGTTCACCACATAAAACA